GAGAGAGAGAGAGAGAGAGAGAGAGAGAGAGAGGGCAGATGGGGAAGGGGAAGAAGAATGCGTCTACTGCTGTAGATTGCCTCTCCAAAGCATTTTTTATGAGATTAAAAGTGCTGAACTAGAATGCGTCCTCCATTAAAAATATATGGAGAAAGCTGAAAGCAGAAAACTCTAAATAGAAGACGCACTAAACCAAAGTACTCCACTAACTCTGTCAGCTTGAAACAAGATCATATTGATGAAGAAAAAAAATCACGGCAGATCATAGCAACAACGGAGTTGGAATTCCACACGTCAAACAAACCAAAACTAGAAGAGGAAGAAGAAGGAACTTACATTCTCTAGCTTTAGATTCAACTCAGTCAACTTGTCCTCAGCTTCAGTTGCACGGGCTTCCAAGGAATCTTTGTCCTTTGATTTTGCTTCTAATTCACTTTTAAGTTTATCAACCTTGACACCAAGAAGTAGCATCAGAACGTTGAAATTGAGCTTAATTTATTCATAAAACTAGGAACTTCACTGATGAGCAACTACCTGTTTCTGCAATTCAAGAGCCCGTGCGTGAGCTTTCCCAACTTGCTCCTTGGCATCTGAAGTCCCCTTTTTCTGAGAAACAACAAAATATACACTTTAGGAGCAAATAAATGAGTAAGCCCTCTGCATTTGTACACTCTCCCTTAACACACTAACAATTTAAGAGAAACAAAGAAGGAAATTGCAGACCTGAAGAGATGATATTTCAGTGTTCAAGGATGCAATGCTGTCTGATTTCTCTTGAATGATTTTCTCTTTCTGCTTTATCAACTCATCCTTGGTCTTCAATTTTCGAGTTTTCTCCTCAACATTTGATTCTTCATATACATAAGGGGAAACGAAAGAAGAAACATTTGTAATTACCCAGATGAACATCAAATCCACATTACCAATAAGTGAAATTGAATTTTCACCCACAAAAAACAAACAAAAAAAAAAAAGGGTAAGCTTAAGCCACTCTAATAATGGATAAACCTGGCATCAATGATTATGAGCAAGTGGACAGCCTAAATTATAAAGTCAATGCATAACAAGAACTACTAGTACTAGAAAAAATGAAGTAATCTCGATTAGTCCGCCTACAGTAAAAGGCTTGAATCTAAAATAGAAATAGAGACAAATATAGAAAGAAAGAACAATAAAAAAGAAGAAAACTCAAAACAAATAGTCGAGTAGAGAATCGTGGAATAGGAAAGCTAACCAAGAAGACGGATCTTAGCCTTGAGTTGATCCAACTCAATCTTAAGAGCAGAGGAATCGGCGCCGGCCGATTCAGGCACGGGTTCGATCGAGGCATCCGCTTTAACTAGGGCGAAAATTAGGGATACAAAGAGGGAGAAAATCACGAGCTTTGAGGCCGCCATCCGCCGATTACTAAGCCACCAAAACTCGCCGAGGAGGAAAAACTAACACCCGCACAGGCCAAACAGAAGCAAGGGGCAGACGGTTTCAACTTCTGACTGATTGATCGATTCAACAACTTGCAAATCTTTTTCTTCTCCTCCTTCCGAAAGAAATAATATTATTAAATTGTTTAAACTTGGATTTTCGCTCTCTCTCACGAAACGTGGCAATTATTTTATCCCAAAACAAAAACAGTCGTTGAAGAGATAGAATAGTAATCCAGATTTTTTCTTTGCTTTTGTTATGTGTGAGCCAGTCCCAGCCGGTCCATGAAAGAATCCTTGCGGAAAGAACAACTCAAGGGAGCAGACGGACACGTGGCGGTCGAAGATTCTAAGTATCTCTAAAGAAGAGCACGTGGCGTATGATGAAGGAGGGAGGGCTGATTTGATGGCAATTGAATTCGAATGGTGCACAAATCAAGGCGGGTAGGGTTGGTGGGACGAGTGGAGTAAAGCCACACCTAGCACCGCACAAGCTTTGCTCCATAAATAAATAGACTCCCCCCAGTCCACGGGCCAGGATTGGACTCTTCTTTTTCTTGGGGCGAACCCAAATAGATGGCACATTAGGCTTGGAACAAATTGGGCCAACTTTTTTGACTTCGAAGGCTTGAGCTTTGCATAAGGCCCACTTGCTTATTTTAGAATTTCAGTTGGTAACGCTCATTTTTTAGATTTCATTGTCCAAATTTGGCTAAGTTTTAGTTTTCTTT